TTCCTTCCTTCCTACCTTCTTTCCCTTCTTCCTTTTTTTTTTGAGATAGGTTCTCCCTCTGTAGGTCAGGGTGACTTTGAACTCATGATGACCCTCCCTACTTCAGCCTCCCTGAGTACTGAGATTAGAGGTGTGCCACACACCCTGTATTTGAATTCTTTTATTAAATAATTTAGAGATTCAGCGTGGCTGTGGGAAGGTGTCATGGCAGTCTGTTCCAGCTTGTTAGCGAGGTGACTGCTGACCTTTCTGCTGACTCACAGGGATCTGTGGTGTGATTGGAAAAGGGGACAAAACCATTGAAAAATGAAGGCAAAGTGCAGGAGTCACCGTGGGCAGGATTTAGAAAGATGGTGCAAGGAGCAGCTAGGAGCAGCTAGGAGGCAGCAGGAGTGATGAGCTCTTGGCCTGCACCTCCTCCCTCCTGACAGGGAAGAGCCCCGCACAGGCATGAGGAAGGCTTTAGCATGCTGGTAGAAGGGCCAGGGATATAGCTCAGTAGCACGAGTACCTGCCTTGCAAGGATGAGGTCCTGAGTTCAATTCCCTGTACTGAAAATAAATTTTAAAAAGTGTTGGGGCCTCACTAGTAGCTACTTTCAAGTACTGTGTGTGAAGGGATGTTTCCTAAAGGAACAATTATGCTTTTGTATGTATATCCAGAGGAGTGGAGGAAGAAAACCACCAGCTGCTCAGTGAGCCCAGTAAACCTTCACTGGGCTGCAGGCAGATTCTAGAGTTGGTATCACAGCCCGAAATGAGAGGGATTCCCTGGGAAAGACGATGAGCAGGAGCAAGACTTGATGCAGCCTTTCCCCAGTGACCCTAAATCATGGGGCGCATTTACGAATTCAAGTTATCATTAAGTCCGGAAGTGTACATGAACTGTTTTTCTTCATCTCTCCTAGGAGTGGTTCTGATTAAAGCCCAGATCGTGGAGCTAGTGTTTGCTGTCAGAGCAGCTCAGGAGGTTCGTCTGAATGCGCGAAGCTCCATGGAGCGCATCCTCTGTTCCCTCCCCAGCATGACCTACACTGGCTGTGCAGGGTGTGGCTCAGAACTGGACACGGATGAGAACAAGATCTACAGACAGTGTCTTAGCTGCTTGCCACTTTCTGGAAAGAAAACATACTACAGGTAATGCAGAACAGGAAGCCAGTGTGATGGAAATATTTACTATTATGGGACTGCAGTGACTGAAGATTACCTGTATAAACCCTTACTCTCTACTAGAACTAACCCAAGAGCACAGAAATTTTCCCTGAAGGACAAGTAATTATTTATGGAAGCAGATATTGTGCAGGGAAATTTTGTCTCAAGACAGCATGCGGAGTCTAAATGTTTCATAATTCATTTCACCATTTTAAAATGGAATTTAAAGGGTAAAGGTATTATGTGATCTTGCCTCTGAGTTGTTTGTGCAAGCTAGTAATATGTTTATTTAACCTTCCATACTTCACTTCTTATCTTTACCTTAGAAACTGATGATAGCAAATAAATGTTCTCTGGTAAAATTGTCAACTAGCTCAGCGAGAAAACACATTGTTTTCCAAAAAGTAAATGTCCAAAGTCAGGGATAATTTCTTTGACCACATAAATTACTTACCTTTTTTTGGGGGCAGAACTATTACTTACTTTTACAGAGTAATATACCATGGTTTTATACTCTTTTATTTCTAAATACAGCAGTATCTAAAACCTAAATGCAGATCTATCCAGCATGTTATGGCATACTTCAGGAGGCGTACAGGAGGTTAATTCATAGCTGTATTGCTACCTACAAATAATTATCTGTGCTTTAAATGAATAAATGAGACAGGGTCTCATTATGCAGTTCAGGATGCTGGTTTTGAACACACGATGATCCTCCTGCTTCAGCCTCCCAAGTGCTGGGATTATAGGCCTGTGCCACCACGTCCAGCTCATACGTTGATTTTTCTATACAGGAGCCAAGGACCAGCAGGCCAAGCCACTATTCAGCTTAGGAGAGGCAGCTGTGTGGGTGTCGGAGTTTTGGGAGGCAAAGGAAGGTATAGGCTGGGTGTGTCCCTGGTAGCTTAGAGCCACGAGCCTGGGACGAGCTGTGTTCCTCCCTGCACATCCCCACTCCTACAGCTTCCTGGCACACTCACACTGGGGCAGCTTGTTTCTCCAGTGAAAGCCACTAAGGGAGAGCCAGGTAGAAGCCAGCCTTTTTATGACCCAGCCCCAGTACCCACACGGGTCACCTCTGCTAAATTCTACTGCTAGGACACATGTTCAGCTGTCCCTTGGAGAGCAGATGAAAATGAGGCTGGGTACAGGAGAGGAGAAGGACAGCAGTGACGATAGTGTCATAGGTGGGAAGGAAGGATGTCGGCTGATTTAATTTTTTCTAATAGGAAATAAAGTTTTCATCAAAAGAAGTATTGTATATTACTATTTTTAAAAATAATTTTATTGAGAAACAAATAACAATGAGACAGTTTCAAAACCGATTAGTAGGACAGGTTCAATAATTAATACATTGCATATTGTTGTTTTAGTGGTTTTTCATTATACAAGACTCAGACATGATATCCTGTCCACAAACACTATTAGAACAAATCTTTCTATTCATTGAATTAAGAGAATGTAGCTGTATATCTATCCTAAATATTTTGAATATACATATCAGATCATTTTACTATTTTAAGAAGGTAGTGAGATGTGTTGATGGCCAAGGTCTCTTGAGATTGAAGGGACTTTTTTTCTATCTTAGGTAATGTCTTAGTTACTTGTCTTGTTGCTACCCACACCCACAAGTTAAAGGAGGAGAGGTTTATTTTGGTTTACATTTCATGGAGGTTTTTTGTTTTTTAATTTGATACAGGGTCTTGATACGTAATTCAGTCTCATAGTGATCCTCCTGTCTCAGCATCCCAAGCACTGGGACTGTATCCAAGCAGTACCAGGGATAGGAGTTATGCTGCCAAGCCAAGTTCTCTCCTGCACCCAGCCCAGCTATCTCCCCAGCCCAGTTCATAGAGGTTTTAATCCATAGTTGGCTGGCTCAAAGGCAGTTTCAGATGGCAAAGGGACATTGTAGAGGAAAACAGCTCAGGGCATGGAGGACAGGAAGCAGCAAGAGAAGAGGGAAGAGGATGGAGACAGGCCCTTAGGCCATACCCACAATGGCTCAGCACACCCAGCTATAAACTTATCCTGGGACTAACCTGGTATCATACACCCATGATCCAGTCACCTCCTAAAACCGCACCTATGAACAGATGAGGCTGTGGGGAAACATCTAGGTATAAGCCGTACCAGGTACCATGTCCTTATGGATATAAACCTCAGTTAACTGTAATACTTACGGAATGTGAGGTTCTGGTTAACTACAGATTAACTGGCAAATACTTGGTAGTAACCATTACAGAAAGTGCTCCTGCTTTTATGGGTATGGTGTGCCGGAGGTTAGTTAGTGGGAAATGCAGGGCCTTGAGTCATTTCTGTGTTATACAGAACAAGTGAAACTGAATATAGCTGTAGAAGGAACAAGAAACAAGTTTTTTCTGGAATTTTAAAGAAATAAATGTATATTGTTCTTTAAAAAATGTTGGGAAAACAGAATTGGCCCCATTTAGACTGAGTGGCAGGTAAAAAGAGATATCATGGGTGTGTCGCAGAGCACTAGCAATTAGCAGGAGCTAGAGCTCTTAAAGCTAGTAACATGAGGCCGGGTGTGGTGGCACAGGCTTGCGATCCCAGGACTTGGGAGGCTGAGGCAGGAGGATTGTTGTGAGTTCCAGACCAGTGTGGGCTACAGTGTGAGCTCAAAGCCAACCTTAGCATAGTGAGACCCTGTCTCAAAAAGACAGAAAACAAAATAAAATGCTTAGTAAATTGGGAAGGTACTGATGGTGAATGTGGGTGGCTCTGGGGCGGGAAGTTGGGCAGTAGTCAGATGTGCAGGAATACGCCTCTTGAAGAAGCCTGGCCAACCCTGCGTGTGGGACCAGGCCACCCTTGTTTTGTTTTTTCTTCTGCTTTCCCTTACTGTCACTCCTGCTGGGCCTTTCCTACCAGCCTGCATTCACATTCTGGCCCTTGTCAGATTAGAAACACATGAACAGGGTCACCTTTAACCTTACCTCTTTGTCCTACCACCCTCTTCTTTTCTGCTCTGCCTTTCACCAGTCTTTGCTAAAAGGTTGCAGACTTGCCTCTTTTTCTTTTCTTCATCTCTGAATTCACTTCAGCTGACTCCCTTCCACACCTGTAGTGCTGCTTGCACTGCTTTTGTTAAGGTTGCCTACAGATTTGAAGCAGCGTAACTGATGAACCTGTCCCTTCTCTGACTTACTCCTGACTGCATCCCACGCCCTCCTTCGTCGCTGGCCCAGTGGCACTCCCCTCGCGGGGTTTCCTAGCCTTTCTCTTGAAATGCTTGGTCAGTCTCGAGTCCTCTTTGCTGCCCTACCTCTTTGCCATCTTTCTGGAGCGATCTCCACTGTGGCCAGGGTGTAGATAGCATCTGTGCACTCTCCCGTGGTGCCCAGTGCCCTGGGCCTCTCCATCTGGCTCGCCGGGGCTTTCAGCCCTCTGCACACAGTGGTCACTCCTTTTCTCTGTAAGACTTTCTTCAGTGTTCTGTCCTCTGCCTGATCCACAGAGAGGTCATCCCTAGCCCCCACTTTTATTTTCTGTTAGTGACCTATATTACTTACTGCAATTGGTGTTTAGTTACATTGTCTTTTCTTATTTATTTATATATATTTTTTCTTTTCAAAGTTTTATTTATAAAC